GGAAACAGGAACCAACACAGGTGAAGCATCTGTTTGCAGAGTCCTCCGTTCCCCCAGAGAGAAGACCCTGGCCCCCAACCAGGGGGCCCTGCTCTGGGGGATCTGGATTGGGAGACCTCCTCTTAGGGTTCACAGGGCAGCCTCACAAAGGCATCAGGGTGCGGAGGGCTGGCCGGTAACGCCCTGCTGGGACTAGGGGATTAGTGCCCACCTGTTCCCCTCCTCTGGACAGAATCTAAAGAAATCACAAGGCAGGGCTGGAACTACAGGGAGGTCCAGCCTGCTTCCAATCAACCTAGATTCCCACGCCCCCAGCCCTACCAGCGCACTCCGCAGCCACTTCCCTCCACCTGCATGAGGAGACACTCTGAGCATCACCTGAAGCCCTGAGTGCTGACTTTGAGAAGCCCCCTCCACGGCCTGCCCGCACCTCCCTGCCGTGGCCTGGCTCCGCTACCCAGCATCCGATGACCCGGCAAAGACTGAAGACACTGCCGGTGTCCCGGGACACTCCCCTCCAGTTCAGCTCTTCCTTCCCATCTCTTTCCCGGTCCCTTGACCTTGGGGGCTTCCTGGAATTCAGTGTCCCTCTCAGAATGCACAGCCCTGCAGCATGAGGTGTCCTTGGGGGTGAGGGAACCAACTGGATTGATGTCGACATCTGGCTGTGAGATGGCAATCTTGCTGTGCAGGATGTTACACTGGGGTAGAGTGTGTGAAGGATTCTGGAGCTCTCGGTACTGTTTCTTACACCTGCACGTGAGTGTACAATGATCACAAAATAAGTTTAATTTTAAAAAATGCACAGCCCTGAAATAACCACAGGTCTGAGGTTGTGCAGGTCCAGCCACAAGTGCAATGGGGCTGATGTAGTTGATTCTTGTTATTGGTAATAATTATATTCTATAAAGTCATTAGAAACACCGAGTTAGCAAATACAGGTATATCGCTTCTAGGGGAAATACGGGGCTAAGTTCCTGCCAGCCTCTGGTCACAACATTCACATCTACAAATCAGCATATAACCTTGCTTTGTGTGTGCTTCTGTTTAAGGACAGCTGGTTTCATATACAGGACTACCTTGGTCATATTTCAGGTTGGTGCCAGACCACAATTAAGCGAAGATCTCAATAAAGCGAGTCACACGAATTTTTTTTGGTTTCCCAGTGTTTATAAAAGTTAGTTATGTTTATGAAATAATGCCATTGGCAGCAACATGGATGGACCTAGAGATTGTCACACTGAGTGAAGTCAGGGAGAGAGAGAAATATCGTATGAAATCGCTTATATGCGCAATCTAAAAAGAAATGATACAAATGAACTTATTTACGAAACAGAAACAGACTCACAGACTTAGAGAACGAACTTATGGTTACCAGGAGGGAAGGTTGGGGGCTGGGGGGAGGGATAGTCAGGGAGTTTGGGATCGACATGTACACACTGCTATATGTAAAATGGATAACCAACAACGACCTACTGTATAGCACAGGGAACTCTGCTCAATATTATGTAACAACCTAAATGGGAAAAGAATTTGAAAAAGAATAGATACATGTATATGTATGACTGAATCACTTTGCTGTACACCTGAAACTAACACAACATTGTTAATCAACTCTACTCCAATACAAAATAAAAAGTTAAAAAAAAAGAACTTTAGAAAAAAAATTCAGAAATCAACTGAAACTCCAAAAAAAAAAAAAGTTATGTTTACACTATAATATAGTCTATTAAGTGTGCACTAGCATTAGGTCTAAACCATCAATGTACATATCTTAATTAAAAAATAATTTATGGCTAAAAAATGCTAACCATCATCTGAGCCTTCAATAAGTCATAGTAGTGACATCAATGATCACCGATCACAGATCACCATAACGAATACAATAATGATGAAAAAGTTTGAAATATTGGGACTTCCCTGGAAGTCCAGTGGTTAAGACTCCGTGTTTCCACTGCAGCGGGGCATGGGTTTGATCCCTGGTTGGGGAACTGAGATCCCACATGCTGCCTGGCATGGCCAAAAAAACCCAAAAAAGTTTGAAATATTACGAAAGGGGACTTCCCTGATGATGCAGTGGTTAAGAATGTGCCTGCCAACGCAGGGGACATGGGTTCGAGCCCTGGTCCAGGAAGATCCCACATGCCGTGGAGCAACTAAGCCCGTGTGCCACAACTACTGAGCCTGTGTGCCACAACTGTTGAAGCCCGTGTGCCTAGAGCCCGTGCTCCACAACAAGAGAAGACACCGCAGTGAGAAGCCCGCGCACCACAACGAAGAGCAGCCCCCCTTCACCGCAACTAGAGAGAGCTGGTGCCTGGCAACGAAGACCCAACACAGCCAAAACTTAATTAATTAATTAATTAATTTTTTTAAAAAAAGAGGGACTTCCCTGGTGGCACAGCGGTTAAGAATCTGCCTGCCAGTGCAAGGGACATGGGTTCGATCTGGGACGATCCTACATGCCGTGGAGCAACTAAGCCAGTGTGCCACAACTACTGAGCCTGTGCTCTAGATCCAGAGAGCCACAACTACTGAGCCCATGTCCCACAACAACTGAAGCCACGCGCCTAGAGCCCGTGCTCTGCAACGAGAGAAGCCACCGCAATGCGAAGCCCGCGCACCACAACGAAGAGTAGCCCCCGCTCACCACAACTAGAGAAAGCCCGTGCATAACAATGAAGGCCCAACGCAGCCAAAAATAAATAAATAAAATACATTTATTTAAAAAAAGAAAAGAAAAGAAATATTATGAGAATTACCAAAATGTGACACAGAGACACAAAGTGAGCAAACGCTGTTGGAAAAATGGCACCAGCAGACTTTGCTCGATGCAGGGTTGCCACGAACATTCAATTTGTAAAAACGCAGTATCTGTGAAGTGCAATGTAGCGAAGTGCAGTAAGACAAGGTCTGCCTGTATGTGGTTGATCCATGAACATGAACTCAAGCCACAGGCACTATCAGGCCCCAGGGCAGCTTGTCTAGCACACACGTTTTCTACAGGGTGCACATCACAACTTTCTTGTGCTTGGGAGCTAGCACCTCAACGAAAAGCACAAAAATGGAAAATAACGTGGCACTGAACAGACAGTAAAAAGGACACTTGTTTGCAGTACGAGAGCTGAGACACGAAGGCAGAGCCAGGCCTTGTTCAACCTCAGATGGGGACACGCACATCGGGAGACTCAAATTTTTTGCCACCCTGTGCATGCCCTCAGGTGACCCCCAAAAGCTCCCGCTAGTATTGACTTGGAGGTTACGAACGAACTGTTAGTGAGTAGGTGAATTTTCAAATATGGAATCAGTGAATAATGAGGATCGACAGTACTTCCGGTGGCCAAGTGGGGACCCAGGACTGCCATTAACGTGGCTGAGATGAGGGAATGGCCTGTCGTCCAGGGCGGCCATCCCAGGGAGCTCTCCTGCCCTAGTGTATATACAGACCCTACGCCAATAAAACATCAAGACATGGCTTACTGTTTCCAACTCGAAGTCCAAGAGTTTGCAGGCACCATACACAGGAGGCTTAGCTGCAATCATACCAGAAAGAGGCTAGTGAGTGCCAGGCATGGAACTCAGGGTGTGGGGACACAGAGCAGAGCACGGCAGGGTACTTACAGTCATCGGGTCTCATCTGTCCCTTGGGCCTGCGGATTGGGGTGCCAGACACCACGATGGAGGAAGCACGGCCGTGGTAGCCCACTGGTAAGTGCAGCCTGAGGAAGGAAGGAGAGAGAAAGCATCAACACTGTTACACGTGCAAAGTAAATTTCAAAATGTTTTCAAATTAAAAACGAAAGGGAGAAGGAATAGTCAGGGAGTTTGGGATCAACATGTATACACTGCCATATTTAAAATGGATAACCAGGGGCTCCCCTAGTGATGCAGTGGTTAAGACTCTGCACTCCCAATGCAGGGGGCCCAGGTTTGATCCCTGGTCAGGGACCTAGATCCCACATGCATGCTGCAACTAAGAGTTCCATGCCACAACTAAGGAGTCCATGTGCTGCAACCAAGGAGCCCATGTGCCGCAACTAAGGAGCCCCCCTGCAGCAACTAAGACCCAGCGCAACCAAATAAATACATAAATATTAAAAAAAAAGTGGATGAGAAAAAGAGAGCTTTAAAATGGATAACCAACAAGGACCTACTGTATAGCACTAGGAACTCTGCTCAATGTTAAGTGGCAGCCTGGATGGGAGGGGAGTCTGGGGGAGAATGGATACATGTATATGTATGGCTGAGTCGCTTTGCTGCACACCTGAAACTATCACAATATTGGGGTTTTTTTGGTTTTTTAAAATTCATTTATTTATTGGCTGCATTCGGTCTTTGTTGCTGCGTGCGGGCTTTCTCTAGTTGCGGCGAGCGGGGGCTATTCTTCGTTGCGGTGCGCAAGCTTCTCACTGCGGTGGCTTCTCTTGGTGTGGAGCACAGGCTCTAGGCGCGTGGGCTTCAGTAGTTGTGGCACACGGGCTCAGTAGTGGTGGCACATGGGCTTAGTTGTTCCCCAGCATGTGGGATCTTCCCGGAACAGGGATTGAACCCGTGTCCCCTGCATTGGCAGGCGGATTCTTAACCACTGCGCCACCAGGGAAGTCCCTATCACAACATTGTTAATTGGCTATACTCCAATATAAAATAAAAAGTTTTTTTAAAAAAAAGAAAGGGAGTCAACATATATACATGGTTCAAATATCGAAAGGTACTCCCAAGTGTCCAGCAATAGATAAACAGATAAGCAAGAATGAGGTCTATACATACAATGGAATATTGCTCAGCATTAAAAGGGATGGAAATAATGACACAGGCTACACCACGGGCGAAGCTTGAAGACATTGTGCTAGTGAAATGAGCCAGACACCAAAGAACAAATACTGCCTGATTCCACTTACATGAGGTACTTAGAGGAGTCAAATTCATAGAGACAGAAAGTAGAATGGTGGTGGCCAGGGGCTGGCGGGGCGGCGGGTGGAAACAGGGAGTTATTCTTTAATGGGTCCAGAGATTCAGTCTGAAAAGATGAAAAACTTGTGGGGACGGATGGTGGTGATGGGTGCACAGCAATATGAATGTACTAATGCCACTGAACTGTGCACTTAAAAATGCTTAAGATGTAAATTTTATGTTATGTGCAATTTACATTTTTCAAAAAAGCAAAAGGTACTTAAACAGTGGGGAAAAGTATGATTTCCTCCCATCCTTGTCTCCAGCATGAATGTGGTGGTGATGCAAATACACGCAGAATAACTGAAATGGTTACTGGGTACGTACTCTGCGCTTAGAATACGCAGCATCACACGGGGGGCTTTCCTGTTGTTCCCCTTTTCATGCCCTCCTCACAACAGCCCTGCACGGTAGGCGTAATGGGACAGCGCTGAGCAAACTCAGGCTCAGGAGCGTCCAAGGCTTGGCCGAGGTGACCCCGTGTGAAGTGCTGCCGTTGGAATTCAAACCTGGGTCTCTCCGACCACAAAGTTCTGCTGCTTCCCCTGTAGCCCCCTCCCTCCCTACTACAGTGGGACCCGGGGACTAGATCATAAAGCTCAGAGCGGGAGAGCCATCCAGAGCACAGGAACACTGTCAAGAGCTCTGTTTATAAGACAGAAATATGGGAGAGGAAATGAAAGGGGAAAGAGCTCCCGAGCATCCAAACACCATCATAAGGTGATTTACGGCATGGTACTGCTAGGGACAGACCGACTGAACAAGCTGGTTAAGACAAAGAACATAATACATAAGAAGTGAAAAACGTTTTTGCATAGCAAGGTAAGTTAGATCCTGTAATGGGTAGAATATGGTTCCCTGGAAGCATGTCTACGTCCTGACCCCTAGAAAATGCGAACTCGACCTTATTTGGAAAAAGGGTTTAAGTTAAGGATCTTGAGATGACGTCATCCTGGATTAGCAGGTGGGCCCTAGATCCAGTGACAAGTGTCCTTATAAGAGGCACACAAGAGGAAACAAAGAGAAGAGACGAAGGCCCTGTGTAGACAGAGGCAGAGTCTGCAGTGATGCTGCCCAGGAAGGATGGCCTGCAGCCACCAGAGCTGGACAAGCGGGGAGATGGCCTGTCCCCTGGAGCCTCCAGAGGGAGTGAGGCCCTGCCAAAACCTAGATTCCAGACCTGAGGCCTTCAGAACTGCGAGATAATAAATTTCTGTGGTTTTAAGCCACCCAGCGTACGGAAGTTTGTTACAGCAGTCCAGGAAACGAATACAGACCCACACCTCACATCACACACAAAAGGAAATCCCCAGTGGATTATAGATCAGAATTTATGCAGAGTAAGGCTCTAAGAAGTACTAGGAAAAAATACTCCCCAAATCTTCAAATTCCTGAGGTGGAGAAAGTCTGAGCACGACATAAAAGTAAATGCCGGGCTTCCCTGGTGGTGCAGTGGTTGAGAGTCCGCCTGCCGATGCAGGGGACACGGGTTCGTGCCCCGGTCCGGGAAGATCCCACATGCCGCGGAGCGGCTGGGCCCGTGAGCCATGGCCACTGAGCCTGCGCGTCCGGAGCCTGTGCTCCGCAACGGGAGAGGCCACAACAGTGAGAGGCCCGCGTACCGCAAAAAAAAAAGAAAAGAAAGTAAATGCCATGAAGGAAATGATTGACATGTTTGACTTTATAGAAAGGTAAAATTTCTGCATCAAAAAAGACAGAAAATAAAGTAAAAAGATGCCACATTGGGAGACAAGAGTTGCACCGCATTACAACCAAGGGTTAATTTCTATTCAGCACAAAACAGTCCTTCAAGTTAATAAGCGAGCACTGACCGGGTGGAAGAGCATCTGTGAAAGACTCTCTAAGCAGCTGGTAACGGTTCTGCCTTCAGAGAAAGGAAGGAGGGTGAAGGACAGGGTGGGAGAGTCTTGCTTTGTTCCCACTGTTTACCCATAAATTCCTTTGGAAGTCCGGACTATGTACATGCATTGATGATTTTTTGTAGCTTTTAGCTTTTTAAATGTTTGAAAATGTATTTTGCAATATTTATGATACACAAAAAGATATAATAAGACAAATAACCACAGAGCACCAACAGGCTTTCTAAGCCAATTAAAAACGCCCCCTTCATAAGGACCTCCCTGGCGGTTCAGTGGTTAAGACTCTGCGCTTCCACTGCAGGGGGCATGGGTTAGACCCCTGGTCTGGGAACTAAGATCCCATGTGCCGCGTGGCCAAAAACATCAAAAAATAATAATAACACCCCCTTTGTAGCCCTCCCAGTCCCTTCCCTCTGCTTCCCACCCCTCCTGACCCCACCCCAGAGGGGCCACCACCTGGAATTTACTGTCCCTTGATATTTCTATACACTTTTACCACTGTCTAGTATTTTTCGCATCTTGTTAGATAAACGGCAATTTACCATGCATTTGCCTTATATTACTTAATCAAAAATAATCTATTTTCGTAAAGACTGAGTTAGATTTAAGTTTATTTACACGGAGCAATGTCAATGACATATTAAAGTGAAAAACACAAATGTCAGTCAGCATGGTCTCGTTTTGTTAACTAAAGAAATGAAACGTGTATGTGGCCGTGCGTGTCCGTGTGTGTGTGTGTGCACACCCGTAACCTGGAGAGGTGAAGGCGATGGGCCAGCCACCATTCAGAGTAATGGCCTCTGGGGAGTGGGCTGGGGGTTTCCCTCTTCTCCCCCTTTGCTCCCCTTATTGGCTTAAGTTATAAAATACAACTGTGTGCAATTACATTACATGTAATGATTCAAACAGCACAGAAGTTAGTCAGCTCTCCCCATCCAGCCACTCCCCTGAAGGAAGTAGAGTTGGTCTGGAATCTATTATTCTGGACCTTTCTCTACGCTCATAGCAGTCTATGCAAATGTGTGCACGTGTGTGTGTGTATGTGTATGTACAAGTGTGTGTATATGTGTAGATATGTGTTTAGGTATACGTGTGTGTACATGTATGAGTGTGCATGTGTGTGTGTGAGGCTCAATAATAGCCTCTCAAAAGATACCAAGGTCCTGGGACTTCCCTCATGGTCTAGTGGTTAAGACTCCATGCTTCCAATGCAGGGGGAGTGGGTTTGATAACTGGTCGGGGAACTAAGCTCCCGTAAGTCATGAGGCACGGCCCATAAAACAAAAAAGATATTCAGGTCCTATTCCCTGGAACCTACAGATGTTACTTTCTATAGCAAAGGAGACTTGCAGATGTGATTAAGTCAATAATCTTGAGATGGTAGAGATTATTCTGAATCATCCAGGTGGTCCTTAAATGTAATCATAAGGGTCCTTATAAAGGGGAGGCAAGAAGGTCAAAGAAGGAATTAGGACAATTGCAGATGGAACTGAGACAGGATGGGACCTGGGACCCTTTGCTGCAGTGCCGCAATCCTTGCACATGGACACACCTCTCCATGAGCAACAAAATACTAAGAAACTGTATGGGACTAAAGATAAACGCGTTCATGTGCATGCACAGTTGGGGCAAATTCTGGACCCAAAAGGTACAAAGAGACCAAAAAAATCCCAACTGCCACTTTTGAAGAGCCTGGAGCAAAAACAGGGTGTCGGGAGCAAAAGCAGGGCACTGCACGTGCCCCCTGCACCCACCACCACCTAAGGGGTGGGCAAAACACCTAAGCCACCCCCCTGGCCCGACCCCTGGACACACCCCTACCCTCACCCCATATAAGGAACAAGCTTGCCCCCCCTCGGGGAGCGAGCAATCAAGGGAACCTGTTGTTTGTTCTCGCTCCCCCACAGCTGCAGCAGGGGCCCCAATAAAGCCTTGCCTGAATTTCTTGTCTGGCCTCTAGTCAATGTCTATTGCTTGGGGAAGGCCAAGAACCCTGGTGGGTAACAGAACCAAGAGGGTGGAGTTATCTGAGGCAGGGGTCCCAAGCCCAGGAACGTGGGCAGCCTCTGGAAGCTGAAAAAGACAAGGAAATGGATTCTTCCCCTAGAGCCTCCCAGAGGAACCAGCCTTGCCGACACCTTAACTTTGGCCTAGTGAAGCTGATTTCAAACTTCTGACTTCCAGAACTGTGAGAGAATATATCTGTGTTGCTTTAAGCTACCGAGTTTGTGGTAATTGGTTATAGCCACCACAAGAAACTAATACAGTATGAATGTACGTATATTTTTCTTTGTCTTTTTATAAAAATGAGAACTCACTTTACACAATACCTTCACTTCATATATCATGAAAGTGGGGCTTCCCTGGTGGCGCAGTGGTTAAGAATCCACCTGCCAATGCAGGGGACATGGGTTTCAGCCCTGGTCCAGGAAGATCCCACAAGCAGCAGAGCAACTAAGCCCGTGAGCTACAACTACTGAGCCTGTGCTCTAGAGCCCGCGAGCCACAACTACTAAGCCTGTGCTCTAGAGCCCGCATGCCACAACTACTGAAGCCTGCGTGCCTAGAGCCCGTGCTCTGCAACAAGAGAAGCCACTGCAGTGAGAAGCCTGTGCACCGCAACGAAGAGTAGCCCCCGCTCTCCGCAACTAGAGAAAGCCCGCGCGCAGCAACAAAGACCCAACGCAGCCAAAAATAAATAAATAAATAAATAAAATCTATTTTAAAAAATATATATGTATATCATGCACATGACTTTTGATCCTAAATCTTTCTTTCGACAGCTACAAAACATTTCATATTGTGAAAAGACCATGATTTTTCAACTAGTCCTTCACCAATAACCATTCAGATTGCTTCCAGCTTTGGGTCCTTAGAAAGATTGCTGGTAAACATCTTTGCCCTTGAATACAAACATTATTTCTGTAGGATAGATGCATGAAAGTAAGACTGTGTGTCCAATGGTATGCACATTTAAAATTTTTACTTTATGTATTTTCTGTTTCGGTTAATTACAACAAGCATATATTACCTTTATAATAAAGGATATATGCATAAAGTAAAAAAGGCACAGCCGCCGACTACTTTGCATCAAACATTGAGAGAGAAAGTCTGTTTGCTCTTACCCTGCAGAAGGAAATGGGCTGGGACTCCCCCACTTGGCCTGGACCATGCACAGGGCCAGAGTCTTGACTCATTGGCCTCCTGCAGTCCTAGATGCACCCTGGCCTTGTTCTGCAACCTTGGCCTGGTTGCTTAACTTCTCTGGGTCGTAACCCACTCTCTTCCCCCTTCTTCCTCTTGGTTCTGACAGACGCAGCCCCTTCTGGCACAGCTTATCTGAAACACCCACTAGAAGAGGGGGAGGTCTCTGTCCACCCCAGTGACTGTGTGTGGCCCAGGGCACTCGGCCTGGGGCGTGCGCCTGCCACTGTGCTCTGAATAACCGTCACATCTAGAGGACAACACACAGCAAAGGGCAAGGATCTTGGCTCTGCGTTCTAGGCTCCGGCAATGGCCTTGGCCTGGGTGTTAGGAGACAGCTTTTGGCCCTGTTTGTCCTCAGGCAAGTTGCTCCTTCTCTGTTTCCCTTCCTGTGAAATGGGGGTGTCAGTCATAGCCTTGGCGACCCCAAAGAACCCCTATGAGAATCAAATAAATAAATGCAGCCCCCGTTTCGAGCTGACCACTCTTTGAGAAAACACAGCACTGGGCACACTTGAGGATTCTCATCCATCAGAAGAGTCTAAGTATGGAGAATGCTGGCATGGAAGACTTGCCAATAAAACCGTAATTCACAGCTTACAAACAAAAGGATCTGGAAGGATGTTAGTGAGTCAGGATCTAATTCCAACCCGTGTTCTCTAGATCAAAGAGCTTAAGGGAAGTCCCCATGATCCCACAGCAGGTCCAGGGCTGAAGGGAGAGGAGGACCAGAGTCTGAGGCCACTGCTTCCAGAAGTGGTGACATCATGGTCATTGTTAGCTTTCCTCCCGGGTTTCCTTAACCTGAGAGGACTTGGCAGCTCCTGGGACAACACGCTACCGGGCACGTAAAGACGGACTTGGAACTTAGCCACACACTGGTCCAGAACATACCAATTGGGCATCAACGGGTTCTCTGTGCCCCTGAACATGACTCCGACATTGGTGGCATGGTGCCGAGAGGAATAGAAGTCCGTGTAGTCGCCTGCGGGAGAAAGGTCGGGAGATGCCGTCAGTGACCTGGATTCCGCAGGTCGGAGAAGGGCCAGTTCCGAGGCAGGGTCGGAGAGGGAGAACAAGGAGGGGTGGGCGGAAGGGGCCGAGAGAGCATGCCTGACATACGACACAAATTCGCCTCACTAAAAATTCGTTTTGAGAACTCCCAGTTGAGAAACGAAAAAGAAACAAGGAGCCAAGACTTCCTGAAACAGACAATGGAATTTGCAAAAGAGTGGCGGACACCCCTCCCACCCGCGGGCTCGGCTCCTCAGGCCTTTGCTCAAGCTGTGCCTGCCCCTGAGCAGCCAGCTGCTCCGTGTGCATCCTGGTAAAGAGACTGGACTCACCTATGGTGGCCGGAAGATGCATTGTGGCGGAAGCCTGGGAGGTGAATGCACTGAAACACAGAACAAGGGGCTTCAAGGTCGAGCTTTGGTCATTCACAGGCTCAGCCTAGATCATGGCCCAAGTCCTGCTCACAATCTTAAGCGAGCACTTCCAGACTGGCCTGGGGCCACCCCAGGATGGGCATCCACCCACTAAAGACAAGTTGCCTCTCCCCCGCTTCTATGTTCCACTCTAGGCAATGGGCTATATTACCCCTTGTTTGGAAACCAGACAAGGACGCAAATGATGCTGAAGAGGAATGGCTGAGTGAACAAGGGAGTGGGCCGGTGGGCCACGCATGGCTTGGACACCCCAGTCCAGGCAGAGAGGTAATCCCAGTCGGCCCAGAGCCCTCTCACCAAAATGCAGCCCAGGTCGGGGCTGGATGAGGCCAAGGCAGCCAACCCGTGACTCAGAATGTCCCTGACGACCACACCGTCCTCTTCCGACAAGCCAGGTCCCCTCCTCCCCACCCACCACGGTCCACGGGCTCCTCACCGCTTCCGAAGCTCCGTGTCATCTCTGAGCCTGGCTTGGCTGGCGGACAGCAGGTTCTGCAACAATCCCCTTGCCTCCTTCCAGGCAGCCTGACCCAGGCCCATGAAGCTGTTGAGAGCTGGCTAGGACCAAGATGCGGAGGAAGAAAGAAGATCACACATGGGAAAGCCCCTTGTGCTACCCCTCCTACTGACAGGAGAGAGCCTGGCCAGCTTTCTGGGTCCCCTGTCACTTATCCCAGTTCATTCCAACTCTCAGGACTTTGGTTCTTAGTTCTGTCATCTGTTCATCGAGCTGGGGAGATGTGTCATCTTTCCTGATGGGGCTTCATTCCCTCATGGACTTGCAACTGGCAAAGCCTGGGAGCTCCTATCTGGGACAGCTGCCTGGTTAAGCTTGGCCCCACCTGCAGTGAAGATGGCTGCGTTCCTCCAGGAGGGGCCTCCGGTCTGCAGGGGTACTGCAGTCTACACCAATCCCCTTCACATAAGTTAAGAAGAGGTTTCTGAGCCAGTGAAGTGTAGCAGAAAAAGCACTTGTGGATTCTCAAGGCCAGAGTTCCAACCCCAGCTCCAGTCCTTATAGCCATGTGACCTGGGAGAATTGTGTCCCGTTTCAGATTAGACCCTCATCCATCTAATAAGGATTCCATTCCTATGCGAGAGGGTCGTCATGAGAATTGAACAAGAGATGTGTGTAAAACTCCTGACACATAGGAGGTACTCAATATATATCATCTTCCTTCCATGGAACGGGAGGGAGGATGCACACCAAAGCACTGGACCATTTACAGGGAAGTAAATTCACGTCCATCACTCATGTACATATCCTTCAGGCTGACTCCTAAAGTGGTGGCAACACAGAGGGCACTTGGGGCAAGCTGTCCATTCTTCCCAGGCTGGAATCAAACCTGGAGGGCAGGGCTCATGGCTCCCTCCCTCGGAGGGCCCAGCACCGGCCTGGAACAAGCAGAGACTCAACCAGCTTAAAATGAGGAAATGAACCAGTTATTGGAGACCATCATCTCAGAGACAACTGGGGAGGGCCTAGGACTGTGGAGGGACTGACACTCTTTTTTCCGGACGCGCAGGCTCAGTGGCCATGGCTCACGGGCCCAGCCGCTCCGCGGCATGTGGGATCTTCCCGGACCGGGGCACGAACCCCTGTCCCCTGCATCGGCAGGCAGACTCTCAACCACTGTGCCACTAGGGAAGCCCGGGACTGACACTCTTCTCACCCAGGAACCCACCCTGCGCTGTCCCAAGGCTAACTCCTGCCAGCCTGTCTGTCTCACAGCCACCCCCCAACCTTACCCGAGTAAAATCTCTGAGCCCTCAAGGCACTACCTCTATCAGAAACGTAAGGCAAAGGGCATTTTCTTAGTGGCATTTGCAACAAAGGCCACTGAGATCCAGGACAAGCCATGTCACAATGTCCTACCTGATCAAAGACATCCTGGTGTTGGGAGAGGACAGGCCCAGTGAAGAGGTGCTTAATGACACTGAGGTCTAGGATCTGGTCACCAATCGCCACGCCGATCCTTGGTCTTGGCTGGGAGGAAGGTGGCATGGTCAGCACTGGGCAAAGCCTCAGCCGGGCTTGGCTCACTTACCCAGCAAGTCTATTTACAAGCCCATGGCTCTTGTCTTTACATGGCCCTCTGTGGAGAGGGACTGAGGAACTGGAACCTTAGCACCGTACCCCAGCTCCCTTTGCCTCTCAAAGGGCTGAAATTGACCCTGTGATCTCTGTCCGGGAAGAACCTGGTGCCATGTCTGCCTCTAGGACAAGAAGGGAAAAGAATCTGTGTTTCCTGAATGGAAAATAAATCAAACACCCCTTGGAGTGGGTAAGTTGAAAGAGGCCTAGTCCAAGCCCCTTATCCAGGCAAAGTCCCCAGCAAAGCTCCTCAGGTGTTGCTTAAATGCCTCTAGTGATGAAGAGCTCACCACCTCACCGGGCAACTGCATTATTTCTCAGGTTTAACCTAGGCCTTCCCTTGGGGGCAATTCCTCTGCACAGCAGAGCATGTCCCAGGCACAGTGCTGAGGGCCAGGGGCTTGGACTAATGAGCTCTGTTATGGCTCAAACAGAGCAGAGCTCGGGTCACCAGGGAGCATGAAGCCAGACTGCTCAGAGCATGCAGGAAAAGTTCCTTTCTGCACCATCAAATCCCAGCTTCAGGCCTGAGTGTGACAATATCGCAAATATTTGGCAAAGCCTGACCTTTGTCCACATGGCCCTGAAATTTGCTCATCAACAAGGAACTTGAGAGCATATCTGCAGACTCGACCTCCTAAAGCTCTGTCCCGAGCTAAGCTTCCAGCTCTCCTGAACCACCAGCTTTGCCATTTCAGTTCCAGGGAGTTTAGAGGTGGGGCTACTGGCTGGCCTTATCTCCAGTGGCTGCTCATTTCAGGGGGCTGAGAGAAGATGGCTATCCCTCCGTGCACAGGGGTAGACCGGAGCCACACCCTCACCTGGCCCTGAGGCCCCGGGCAGACCCTGCTCATGAGGAAGCTGCCTGGAGAGGGTAGTCCTCATTCCCAGCTCCCTGGGCCTCATCTCCCTGGGCTATGAGCTGGGCCACCTGGACCCCAGCGGCTGCCCACTTAAGGGATATGCAGGCAGACCCCTGGGCCACTTCCCTGACCCTGGCCCCCACACCAGGCTGCAGGAAGGAGCCGAGGCCACTGAGCAACATCAGAGACCTAATCACAAGTGTGGCTGCCTGGCTCCTCGGCTGCAAGCAATGGCGAGAAGCTGCCCTTGTGTTCCAAAGCCTGGCAATTGTGAAACCACATGTTGAATCTTCTAGACCTAGACGTGAGGACCTGAGACAGTGAGTCCCTCTACTTTAACTGTTGGGAGTTATTTTCTTCAGTGTTAGACTCCCGATCCCTGGGGTCCTGCCTACTCTGTCATTCACCATCTTATCATTTTGGACAAGTCCTTGGTCCTCTGAGGGCCTCAGGTTCCCATGTATAACCTGAGGGAGACAAATTAGTAAGAGATATCCTATGTCTAACTTTAAGAGAATGCGTGTGCATTGCCTCCGCTTTATAACATTTGGTCATATCCGATAGAATGTTGTCCAAAGGAAATCTTTACCCACCTCCCAGCTTGACAGAGGGAAAAGCATGGGGTTTGGGAGCTCACAGCTGTGGGGTGCACCCCCAAATCTGCCTCTTACTGGCTGTGAGACCTGGAGCAGGACTCTTAGCCTCTCTGAGCCTCAGTTTCCTCATCTGTAAAATGGGGACAGTAGCACAACAGCAAGTTTGTAGTGAGAATTCAATTAATTAACATCTGTAAATCTCTTATCACCAGACCAGACCCAGGACAGACATTCACTCAGACAAAAAAATTTATGGAGCATCTACTTCATCCCAGCAGTACACTAAGGCTGCAGAAGCACTGACGATAGAGGAGAGACATGGTTCCCACCCTCCAGAAGCAAAAGGAAGCACACGGTGAGGTGACAGACGATAACTGTGGCTGGAGTTCAGTGAGGGTGCTTAGGGGACAGCTCTCTCTGAGGAGGTGACATTTAAGCTGGGCCCAGAAGAGTGAGAAGAAATCAGGCATACATAGAGTAGGAAAAAAAGAGTATTCCAGATAGAAAGAACAGTACGTGCGAAGGTCCTGAGGCAGGAAACTGCTCTTAGAAAGTTCCAGAAACTGGGACTTCCGTGGTGGTCCAGCAGTTAAGACTCTGCGCCTCCAATGCAGGGGGCCTGGGTTCAATCCCTGGTTGAGGAACTAGATTCCACATGCTGCAACTAAGAGTTTGCTACAACTAAAAGATCCCCAGCGCTGTAACTAAGACCCAACGCAGCCAAAGTAAATAAATAAATATTAAAAAAAAAAAAAAGAATGTTTCAGAAACTGAAAGGCAGCCAGTGTGGCTAGAGAGAGCAGAGGGTCTGGAGGCAGAGGCAGGGCCGGAACCATAGGGACTTGAACACCTTGGCCGTCAGCTCCAGATTACTGCAGCATCTGTTTCTCAGAAGCCACGGTCCCTGTCTTCACAGAGAGAGCCAGGGTCTGCTCTACTAGTTCATGAGCAACCCAAGATGGAGGGAGGGTGTCCCGTGTGCCTTTGATCCCCAACTCCCAGCCCAGAATCTGGCCCAGAATTGGGGTTCATAAGCATTCACTGAATAAAAGAATGACTAAAATGAAAGCCGGATTAATTCACTATTGTTCCACCCAAATTATGCACGGCTGGCCACTGGCATGGAGGAGTGGGAGGCTGTGTCTCCGTGACTACGTCAGCCTGGAGAGGCAGCCACCACCTTTGGAATGTCCAGTGCCTGCAGCCATAGCTTCAGACACAGTCTGTTCCACTTGAAGGCCCTCAGCCTTCTGCAATGCCCAGGGGGCCCACTCCCAACCCCCAGCACTCTTTTCAGAGGGCAGTAAACCTCCCTAGTGGCTGTCCTTGCACATTCTAATGTGGAACAGCTGGGGCATGGAGTCTGAAAGCCACTAGCCATACCCTAAGGGGCATTCATTCCAGAATCTTATGGGAGAGCAAGTCAGAGCACCCCCCCCCCCAAAGGTTTCTGCCTAATGGATTTGTGGAGTAAAGGTTGAGGACACACAGCTGAGGACAAAGTGTCAGCGGAGTGCAGGGAAGGGCTCGCCAGCAGAGTGCACTTGGCTAACACAGGTTAAGGTTTAACATGCCTCTTATTTGTATTTGCGGCCCTCCAGGGAACTGAGTGTTACCTTTTTGCATCCTTGCAACAACTAACTGGCCAGGCCAGGCAGTTGTGAAACCGCATGTTGAATCTTCTAGACCTAGGCATTTTTGCCATGGGGGCAGGGAACCCAGTTTCCAGGAAGGGGCTAACTGACAGGAACTCCATTTAGCAAACGGTTCCCGAACACTTGGGCGCAAGCAGATTCTGGGCTTCTATGAATCAGGAGTTTACCTTTAAAGTTGGGAGCAGAAAGCTAAGCCCAAAATACCATGAATAAATCCAGGGGAATCTGCTTTCCCCACCCAGGGACCTTCTTATATATTTGTTGATAAACCCCCAGTTTTCAAAGATTTCTTTCTGCCAATCAGACTACACTTACTAAGTGAAATTTCATTTCTCTGCCCAAAAGGGCTTCTTCTGATCATCAAGGGAATGCCAGGGAGCCCAGGGAGCTGAAAGAAGTCTGGCTGGAAGTAAAGAAACGTAACCTCTTAGATCCCAGGCCTCTACCGCCAGCAAAGGCGCTCATCCCTCTGAGCTACTGAAAATACCAGGTCAGTTAATATTTCCCGAGTTCTAGGGTTAGAGGCTAACCTGGGAGAAAACAACCGGTTACAACGTGGTGCCTTGGGGGAAGACAACAAAGCCAAATGACTTCGGAGTAGGCAGTATGATTGTGCTTCAACTCCTCTGTAATAATAAGAGAACTTGCTCTGCCTACCTGAAAGGGAGACTCATATGTATCGTTTCATTCTGCGTTTAATTCTCACATAAACCTGCAGAAACTGAGGCTGAGAATTTCAATAACTTGCACATCTAGAAAGTTACCAGGAGGGATCTGAACCCACAAGTACAATCCATGATCGGCCCCTCCAAAGAAAAAAGGCCCTTGCCTCCACGCCACCTCCCATCGCACTCCCCAGGGAGGAGAATGCAAGGCACCGCTCGTTAGGCCCCAAATGACACCGGCGGTCTTCGCGACAGGCGTCTAGCAGGGAAACAACGGGCCCGATGTCCTGCTCCGTTGGGCGCTGGCGGAGGTGGCAGGGCTGGGCTGAGGCCAGGGGCGGAGCAGGAAGGTGGCGTGGGGGTCCCGGGCGGAGGGGAAGCCCTCCCTCCCCGCGCCCGGAAGCCGAGCACTGCAGCTCACGTTGCCTTTGGTGGAGAAGACGCCGTAGGGCAGGTTGTGGATGGGGAAGTCGGAATCCTCGGCCACTGGGACGAAAGACATGCTGGTGGGCACGGAGCAGGGTGGCGGGCTGCGAGCTGCGCGCGGCCAGCAGGACTGGATTCGCAGAGGTGGTCAGGCAGGGTCGCGCCCCCTGCGGGCTCCGCCCCTTCAGGCCCGTCCCTCCAGAGCTGACGCTGTGACACGGTAGGACCCGGCCCGCCCCCTCCGAGGGCTCCGCCCCTCCTGGAGCCCCCGCCCACCAAGAGACCGCCCTCGAGCCCCGCCCACCAAGAGACCGCCCCTCCACTAGGCCTGTTCCTCCGCAAACTCCACCCCTGCACAATCCCTCCTCTCCCTGTCACTCCAGCTTCGCAAGCTCCACCCCCGCACAATCCTTCCGGGCTCTCCCACTACAGTTTTGACCCTTCGCAAGCAGCCCCGCCTCCTCTTTGAAGGTCCTCGTCCCGGAGTCCACCTCCCGGGAGACCTCGGTCCAGCTGCCAGGCCCAGGGGCCCTGGTCCTACCGAGAGCGATCCCCAGCTTGGCATTTAAGGCTCTGCCCCTGGTGACTTCAGCCTCGTTTTCCCCCGGCTGCGTGGCCCGCTCTTCTGCTCAACAGAAGTCTTGTTGGGTTTCCGGGACACAGCAGACCCTTTGACGCCAGACGCTGCCTCCTGGGCTGGTACAATGCTTCCAGTCTCATCCTTTCTGCCTTCATAAACCATGCTAATCTGTCAGCTATGGCATTTCCACTTTATCGGGGAAAGGAACAGTCGTGCCTGTTTGGAAGGCTTACATTAATGAGATTAATATTCTAGAAAATATAACTCACCTGTTTCATATTCTAGTGTTAAAATGACACTGACAAGATGTTTGACCTTGGACAAATTACTTAACCCCTTTCTGCTTCAGCTTTCTTCTCTGTATGACGTTGATGATCATGGTTTCTACTCCACAGAGTTGACAGGAGAATTGAATTAATTGTGGAGCATTTGTGCCTGGCATAAAGAAACTATTTGTGTGTAAAGATTGAAAGGGGAGACTGAGAAAAAAAATACAGAGAGAAAAGAAAGAGAGGGAAAGGGAGTGAGGGAGAAAAAAATGAAGGAAGGGAGGGAGAGAAGAACAAATTTACACCTTAATCCTCTTTGCAATGCTGGTGACTAACAGCAAAAAGGAGGAAGATTTGAGATCCACCTCTGACAGCACCAAAAGTGTTTAGCTTTAGGCAAGTTAAACTCTCCAGTCATCCGTTTCCTCATCTGTAAAACAGACATAATAACAATACCTACTCCAGGATTTCTGTGATGGTCAAATAATGCCTGGCACAGAGTTAGTTATCAATTAACTACTTTTTTACCCCCAGGGACATCCAACCAGAAAGTTAGCCATTTCTTTGTGTCTGGCTTTTGCTTTTCTTTTTGAAGAAGACAATCAAAAAAGGAGAGAACACAGCTATAAAGGTAAAGTGGTCAGCACTGACTGAAAATACATTTATAATAGAAATGCAATTTCTTAGAAACCTAACAAAATTATTTCTTTAAGTGGGTTAAAATTAAAGTATAGGCTGCACAATGCTCATCAATACACAAACCAGTATTTGCAACACTGACTTTTGATTAATTTGCTTGGGAATTCTTACGACAGTAGAGTCCAAAGTTAAAGAATTAATGGATCCACAAGCAGAGCTGTCTGAAAATAAATTTGAAAACCAATTTAAGCCAAAATCCTAGAAGTTATTTTTAAAGGTGGCAGAATCATCCTAAAGTTTGTAAACATAACAGTTTCCCTTCAAAAACATTTCATAATGAATAATAATGATAGATGGAAAGACCTAAAAGTAAATAAGAAGTTGCACCTCCTTTGCCTGCAATGTCTTGCCCATATCTCCTCTCATCCACTATCCTGCTCCCTAAATCAGGTTCAGTCATCTTCATTCTTCAAACACATTTGTCAACAGCCAGTCCCAAGTCTCCCAGCTGTTCCTCCCTGTCTTCCTTCCTCTGTCCTCAACTCTAAAACAATGCTACCTTTTCAACAAGATCAGCAGTAAAGTGTGTACCAAAGAGCTTGTAGTTAGAATCAAGTATTAAAACTGTGGGTGACTGGGACTTCCCTGATGGCGCAGTGGTTAAGAATCCACCTGCCAATGCAGGGGACATGGGTTCGAGCCCTGGTCTGGGAAGATCCCACATGCCGAGGAGCAACTAAGCCTGTGTGCCACAACTACTGAGCCCGTGTGCTGCAATTACTAAAGCCCAAGCACCTAGAGCAGGTGCTCCGCGACGAGAAGCCACCGCAATGATAAGCCAGTGCACCACAACAAAGACCCAATGCAGCCAAAAAGTTAATAAAATTTTTTTTTTAATTAAAAAAAGAATACATACACACAACTCTGCAGGGTTAGGGAGGCTGCCCTGCAGTTTGGCTTGGAGGGAGGAGAGGCTGGGTTGGTGGCATCATGTGAGATAAGAGGGCCTGAAACCAGAAGGCCTGAGATGAGGGGGTATTACAAGTAGGGCTGGCTGCTGAACCTCCTCCCTAGGTCCAGATGGTTGGAGGTGACCAGTGGTCACCCTGCAAGGGGCTCCCTCTTGCTCAACCTGTTCTCGGCTCTCATCTCCTGCCCCGAGTGTCTGTGACAAGGGTAGACCTCAGTTTTGGTTAAGTCTGCCCTGGGGTGGGTGGGGGAGGGGGGATGAAGGGCAGTCTCTGGCAGTGGTAGATGTTCTGACTCATTCTGGCAGGTTCCAGAAAGGGGAAAAGAAACAGGACAGGGTCCCAACTCTTGTTCTGTGGCCTTAGTATAATAAGAAGCCTTCTGAAATGGAGCAGGACTCTATGGTCTATGCCCCCCATGTCCTCCACCTGCCTTTTGTCTGTGGAAAAACTTTAGCCAAAGGTTAAGTTTAATCAGAGAAGTGAGAAAATGCAGAAGCAAAGAAAAGCAAACAGGACTAAACGATAATAGTTCAGTCAGTAGGCAAAGTCAAGGACCTTTAGTTTCCCCTCAAGGGCTACAGATAATATTCTGAGCCATATCCTGTGATTTGTCTTGTAGGTACCGAAACCTGCACCAGGTGGAAGAAGTTAACCACATGATGACCAGACTGTAGCCATGACATAAGCTGCCACAATGCAGAGAACTGGCCTCAAAGAAATAGAAACCAACCCTGGAACTGAAGATTAACTGTAGCTAAAACAATCAAGATGACGCTGATCAGATCACCAATGACCAAGTTCAAGATGACTGTCCGAGCTGACTGTGCTGTTTCTGCATGTAGCCCCCTGCCTCCGTCTGTAAAAGCTCTTGCCCCCGATTGTCAGTGGGGGGAGTCAGCCTTCGGACAGGAGTCCACCCTCCCCCCCACCCCCCAGTTGCCAGCATCCAAAATAAAGCAAACTTTCCTTTCCACCAACCTTGCCTCTTTATTGGCTTTTGAGCAGCGAGCAGCTGGACCCCACTTTCGGTTACTCTTCCAGGCAGCACGTAATACCTACAGAATTCTAGTGACTCTTTAGCTGCAGGGCAATAAACTATTTACTTGTTCTGTACTGGCCCTGCCCCTCCCCTTAGAGACAGGAACTGTCTTTCTTATTCTTTGTGTAGCTTTGTCAACGCCCAGCAAAACACCTGGCACAGAATAGGTACTCCATAAATACTTAAGTAAATAATAAGAAACTACTGACTAAAGGCAATTAATCAATAACCAGTGAGCTTCCTCCCCTGCCCCCCACCCCATCCAGGCCCTGGGCATACTGCACAGCAGCTTCCTTATTTTCTGAGCATGGGCTGTGTGAGCAATGGGCCAGGAGCTTCCCCTGAATACTCACAAGCTAATGAAAGCCTAGATGATAAAAACCATGTAAAGAGAAAACTTTTGGGGGGAAGGGTGTGGGGCTGATGTGTGTATGGGAAGGGGTGTGGGCATGAGACAGTTGAAGGGGGAGGAAGATTTCCTAGTTTTAAAATAGACTTGCCAACCCACTAATTATATATAGTGTCTGAAAACACCAAAGCTGTTCTCTATTTGGAAAAAAACATTTGAAGTAACTTGCAAATACACTATATTTTTTCTTTCTCCTCTTTTGGGAGGGAGTGTGTTGAGCATGTACGTTACAACAATTATAAAAAAGAGTTCTAAGGAAAAAATATTGCCTGTAATCCCACCATCCTACAGTTTTCACATTTTCATGTTATTTGCTCGTTCCATTTGTTACGCACATGATTTTTCCATCTTTGTGAACTTCACAGAGAGGCCATTTTTCAGTCTTTCCTTACATTTTCCTCCTGAACATTTTTCCTTGTGGCCAAATGGGTTTCATTATTATCATTTTCATCACCTGAAGAAATCGCAATGTTTGGGATTGTAATAATAATGGAGCCATGAGATCTGCATGCACAAAATGTTTTCCTTTTCCTACACTTTTGCTGGAGGGTAAATTCCTGGGTCGAAGGGTATGGGTGCTTTCAGGACCGGAAGTGAGTTTTGGCACCTCCATCATGAAGGGCTGGTTTGAGCCTCTGTAGCACCAAATTCAGTACCTCCCTCGGATGCTAAAATGTAGCCCACAAGAGGCTCCAACAGCTGCACTGCTGGCCTCGTTCACACAAGCATGCCCCTGACTCCCTTACAAGAGAACTGGAAAGGGCTTTCTGAATCCAGTGCGCAGATGTCTTGCAAGGGCT